ATCTGTTTTGCCATTCTTAATCCTGTGGGATAAAGTTGTAGAAAGGTTCAAACACATCTCAGGAATTCCTTAGACTTCCCATTGACAATATGGGGCTAAGATTAGACCCAGTGGCACCTAGGTTGCTCTCTGAGGAAGAGTTTAGAAAGTAAGGGAGTTCTTTCTGCGCCTCATATTTCAGCAGAAAGGCTTTTCTGATAAAGTTTATCTGAAACTCCTATTCTGCCCATGACACTGCAATCCTCATTTATTGCAAAACAGCATAAAGTGAATAAGCACTGTCCTTCCTAACCCTAGTCTGCTGGCTGTGTAGCATTTAGGACTTGATTTCAGAGAAGAAAATTCATCATTCCTTTTGTTATTAGGAAGACATGAATATTTCAGAAAAGGTTTATCTAGCTTATTTTTCTTAGCCATATCCTGCAATTTATGTGTGTACAAAGACAGTTGTCAAACTAATGCATCCAAAACTTATACATCCTCTAACGTTATATGTTATGTATGTTATGTTATGTTATGTTATGTTATATGTTATGTTATGTTATGTTATATGTTATGTTATGTTATGTTATGTTATGTTATGTTATGTTATGTTATTATGTTATGTTATGTTGTTATGCCTTTGGGACTGACCATGGGATTTTTCCATTTTCTGTTTCTTTTACCCTAGGTGGTTCCCCTCATTTACTTAGCAATTTGCTCTAACCTGCTGGCCAATCCTTATGAACCTCAGCTTTTCTTTCACCACATGTACATAGCATTAGCTTTGATTCTCTGAATCTGAAGAAGGTGCAGTAGTTTTTGTGAAAAGGCAAATTATAAATTATATATATGTATGGTCATTGTGTGATTGTGGCTGCCTCTCCAGAAAGGAATAAATCTCTCCTATGAATCCTTACTGATGTCACTGCTTTAGAAACACCCCTCAGAATTGCACTTGGTACCTATTTATGTGCATGTGGGTTGACTCCACAGAGCCATCTTCAAGGTATAAGCCATGCTGGTAAGAGTTGACTACATTGCATATTGCAAAAATACAAAAGACAAATATACCTAAATATGATAATTGTTTCTGTGGAGAATTCTGAGGAGGTTTGAAGGAATATATGTTGTCCCCTTCCCTTCTTATCCATGTCTGCATAGAGTATCACTTTCAAAGCACTATGTTTAAAAATTGCTGTTAATTTCTTTTACTACTCTCAGAAATATTGTGAGTTCATAACAGTCCTCTGCAGCAGGTGTCACATTCTCTGTTTCACACTTCTTCCAGAGAGTCAGTGGGGTTCAAAACTTTATTGACAACTACAGGGACAGAAAATTGCATCTCACGGAGATCAGATTCTCTTATGGGATGAAATGCTAGAAAAACAACCAACTGAGAATCACACATGTAGAAGCAAAGAGCATTGCATATTTTTTTTTTTATAAAAAGCGGTAGTACTTTTCTTTGTAAGGATTTCTGATAGGGGTTTCAATGCAATATTACTGCCAAAAACACTTCTAGGGGGCAAGTGAGAGGAGAAATGTGTTTTTATCTGCAAGGAACATTGCAAGTGAAACTGNCAGCTGCCCCAGGCCTCCACACATCCCCAGGGCCGCCTCCAGCCCTGCTCCACAGGCACATCCCGCTCCTGCTGGGCCCAGCTGGACACAGCTCTGCAGGTGCGGCCTCACGGGCACAGCTGCACCTCCCGCTGCCTAAGAACCCCCAGCAAACCACACTTCCCTAAAGCAAAAAGAAATTTAAACCCTTCCTTAACCCTCCTCCTCCAGGTTTTTTGGTCTCTTGCTGTTTTAACTCTTATGGCACTGCTTTAACTTGAACTCGGGTAGATAGCAATTAAAACAGAATCCAAGTTTGTTGGAGTTCTTTTTTTTCAGACCGTTGAAGCTATCTAACCATTCAGATCCTTATTTCAAGTCTCTGAAATCCTGACATTGTCAGGTGTTTAACTATTCCTCTACTAGAATTTCCCAACAGGGCCGAGGAGGTCTGCTCTGCTCCTAGGGACAGCACCTCCCTCCTGAGGCCCTGCTCTGCTCTCCAAGGTGCCACAGCAAAAAAAGCAGAATTAATAATCAGTTTTCCTTCTAGCCACTCTGGCACAAGACCTGTGTTCAGGGGGATGGGCTGGGGCTCCTGAGAGCACCAGGGAACCCATCTGAGCCCTGCCAGATGCAGGAATGCTCCTCAGCCCCTGTGGAGAGCACAAGGATATGTTCAGCTTGTGCTCTACATGAGGAGCCTCATTTCTTACAAAAATTTCTCACTTACTACAATTCATCCTTTTGGATAATTAGCTATCAAGTGGTGAAGAATGGGTGGGGATGACTCTTCCATTTTTTGAAAAAACCCTAAAGGAGATTCCGTGCTTTGTATAAAAATGCTAAGATGCTAAAGCAATTCCAAATATACATTTAATACATGAATAATTAAGCTCCTTGTATGGGTCCCAAAGCACTGAATACGAGAAATGGACAGTGTAAATACGCTGTCTCTCTGTTCTGGGCTTCTGAAGCTGAAAAATCTCCAATTCTTCTATGCCTACAGATCAATGATGGAATGAGCTGAAAATGTGCTTTTCCTTCTGCTGACAACTATGCACCAAGATCAAAACCGATTTTTAAACCACCAAAATTTTAAAAGAAAATTGCCTCAGCTGATGCTGTTGAGCCAAGCCAACATTGGTTTAAACTTCTTATAAAATCAGCTGATTGCCATTTCATTGCAGGTTAATTAAGATCAAATTTAGTTGACCATAAATGCTTTCTTTAAATGCTCTTTTCAATGAAAATACCTAGCATAGCATGTCAGCTGCAAATATAGCTATTTAAAAAGACATTTCTGCTTACTCTCATTGCATCCACCAAGAAGTTCAAAGTTTAGCAATACTGAGAAACAGAAAACATTGGTCTAAAATTTAAGGCCACCCTATGAGTAAATCATTTCATGTGTGTGTTTTGAAGTGTTATCTTTTGTAAGTAATTTTGACAACTCAAGTAGTTTTCATGAATAGGAAAAATCAGAAGATAACTTTATCGGGCGAATATTAATGTTTTAATTTTTTATAGTAAGATCAAACCAAATATAAATTAGCGGACACGATGAACCTTGTTTATTACTTCCTCTGCCTAAATATGGCAATACTAAGACATCTTGAAGTATGACTGAGGATGCAGGTAAATAACACAATGAAGACAAAAATGAAAAACCCAAATTAAGGATGCATGTCCACACAGATATCCAAATTTTAACACATAGAGAACTTAGTTCAATTTGGTCATCTGGGTTTTCTGTTTCATGGCACAGCGGATTACTGTTGCATTCTTGACCTGATATCTGCCTTTGCCTCTTTTTTACTTTTGTATAACAGAACTAATTTTCTTTCTTCTCTTATGTCCAATTATTGTGTCTCTGGACAATTGTATTTCTCTTCAATTTAACTTCGGATAAACTGCCGTAATTGAAGGAAATGGCGCTACAACACAGTGTACTGCTAACAGCTCCAAGTCAGGAACCAACTTCATCCATTCAAACACACATTCCTTCAAAAGCCTCCAGATTCTAACTCTAATGAAACCTTGCAACACTAAATGCAGCAGTTTGTTAACATCCCAATTATTCTCCAAGAAAATGGCTTTCTTTGGGTGTGTGCACAACCTGCTCCTCTCTCCATCTTCTGAGCACTGAAATCATGATGTTAGTGTTCAGGAACACACATAATCATGGAATGATTATCTGAAGGGGCTTTATTGAAGAGCTCTGGGTGTCAGGGGTACACATACCCAAATCTGACCTGACTTGGTTTTGAGTTGAACATGTTTTTATACTCTATCGTTATATAACTTACATGTTAATTATTAAACTTTGATTGTTCTATTGTATGCATTGTTTTTACCCAAGCATGGATTTCTCCTGATCCCCTCTCAACCCCCAAACATTGTTTCTTGTATTCTTTAAACAATAATCACATCTAACAATTGTGTCATTTATCATATATTGATTACAAAAGTGCAGTTTCACATTATCTTTAGCAATCACGAGGCCTAAGATTTCTTAGGGCTTACTTTTCCCAGGGCTTCCCAAACTTAACTTTCTTTCTAAGTCCCCAAATTTTCTATGATTTTACTACCTTTTACTATCAATGACATTTTCACCTAAATATCCACCAGATTGTGGCCTGAGAAGTACAAGGTCTTGCATCCCAAGCAGCGCCTGTGTCCTTTCCCTGTACAACACACACTTTATTTGCCGCAATTATTATTCAATTATTATTAAATTATTATTTGTTGGCCACAAGAACTACAATCCATGTAGTGAATGTAAAGTCCATGGCTTTAGTGCATTTCCCCCAAATCAGTGACTATGGTGTGATGAAAAGAACGAGCTTCTGACTGCTCAAACCAAGAGCCTTATTTCCACCTGTTAAACATCATCTCTGTCTATCAGCACAGTCCAACACAGAAGAGCAGACAGACTATATTTAAAACAATCAAAACTTTATTTATAACTGAACTAAGCAAAAATGAAACTATGTACAGAAAGAACTATATGCCTAAAGAAACAAGCCTGTACATTGCCTGTTCTCCAGGGTCTACCTAAGTCTGCCCTGAGAAGCAAAAGCACTCATAAATAAATTGGAAAATAAAGTCCTGGATCGAGTTCTGCCCTGCAGGTTGGGCACATGCCGGTGGTCTCCAGGGCAACAGGGAGGCATGCGCTGCAGAACACGTGTCCACACACGGTTGTGACAAGCTGTCGTCCACTTTGCATAATCTGGAAGAAAGAAAACAACAACTTATATTGGGAGGAAAGAATTTGAGTTTGCTGCTCTATTGGCACCAGACAAATGAGATTTGAGAGCATCTGGAATCAGTTAGAACAATGAGGGACCCACAGATCTGCCAGTGCCATCCTGGCAAGGGCTTCTCCCTCTCCATTCACCAGCAAGAAGTGACTTGTGGAGCTTCACAGCAAGGGCTGTGCTTCCAGCCAGCTGCCCACATCAGGCAACTGACTTGTGCAACTCCCCTTCTGGCTTCTTCCTCCTGCCACAAAGCACAAAGGATGACAAGAGGTGAATCCTTACCTCTGAGTAAAAGTCCATGCAAATTGGACAGCTGATGACAACTCCTGGCTCTGCACTAGAGGGAACAGAAGCAGAAAGAAAGTGCAGCTGTTAATATCACCACACTTCAATGGTTATTGATAAATAAAATCTCACCTAATCATGCAACTGCACTGACTAGCCCTGGTACATTTCCTTTGAAGAAGCCTGCTGTCTTTAACTCTCTGTTTTCTGCATTTAATGAGGATTTGGGGTCTCCCTGCCTTGAGGGAAAGAGCATCCTGGTTTTCACTAGGAGAAAGGTGCAGTCAGACACCCTGCTCTGGGATCTGAAGTAAGAGCAGTCTTTAGCGCTGGCCAGTTGGTGTTTGGAAACTTTGCCTTCCAGCAGGTCATCAGGAACAGCTTTGGAACTACAGCATCCAGCTGTCCTCTGAGAACTATTCAGCCTGGAATATTCATTGCAGGAGCCAATTCTAACGCTACAGAGTAACATGGCTCTGGCAAGATCCAGTCCCAGGAAGGAGCCTTTGGTCAATGTTGAATGCTGCAGCACTGAGTTCTTTCAGAGCACTT